GATAAGAAGGCCTAAGGTATGGGTGTTATCTTCGTACAAAGCAAGTGGCCTTCAAAGACAAATCCTTATCCTGCTCCAACACAAGAAGACGCAAGTACAATACTTTGGACGTCTAGGATTAAATCCTCTTAACCAACGGAGGAAATTAATCTACTGGAGAAGCCTATAAAAGTAGGCAGAAGCATGAGATCAAAAGCAAGTCATTGAATTCAAAGCAAGTGGTTCAGTCATTACACTACGAATATCCAGCAAAAGAAAAAGTGCTTGAACACTCTGCTTTGACTCATGCTTCACTAAGCTCTTAGACTAGATCATTCATTGTAACATTTATAGAGCTTAGGTTTTAGTTGGCGGTTAGAAACTTCGTGAATCAATTCATGTTGTTGTAAACACTTAGGAGAACAGTTGTTCGGATCCTATAGTGTGGTTAGATAGATAGAGTACCTTTTGATCCCCACTGGATCAATTGAGAAAAGTCTTAAGGTTTGAGTAACTTGGAGTGGTGTTATACTCCTCGTGAAACGCCTTCAATCTAGGCCAGAGTTGTCAAGGCTAGATTGGCACTAAATGTATTGGGCTGAATACTTTAGTGGAAATCCATTTGAAATAGAATGGGACTGGATGTAGGAGGATTACACCACCTCTGAACCAGGATACATGGTGTGTTGATTTACTTTCATACATACAGAGCACACACCAAACACATCTCACTAAAGGTTTGTAGTTTGCCAGCAGCATCCTAAGCAGTAGTCTTCATTGACTCTACTGCTTAGCCTACTGCTTAATAACTCACTCTCCTTGAGAGTGTTTTTCCACTAGAAGTCGTCTAAAACTCAAAAGGTGCCTCAGCAGTACCCTGGTCTTCACCCTCCTGCTAAGCCCACTGCCCATACACACGTGTCCTTCCAAACTCCATAACAAGCCAGAACAAAAAGTCTATCCAAGAGTCATCCTGTTTCTCAACAGTTGTCTCAGCAGTGATCTGCCCACCAGCCAACTGCCGACTCAGCAGTTGCCTGCCAACCAGCCAACTGCCTGTGCAGCAGCAGCCTAAGCAGTAACCTGCTCACCAGTCAACTGCCAAGCCTACTTCCAGTCTAAACATCATCTAAACTAGAAAGTTATCTCACACTTAGTATAAAGAGGTTAAAGACTTCCGCTGTGCATCTATTAATCTCCCAAAAGATTATAGATCAACTCATCTAGAGGGGAAGAGTTCTAAAAATTGAAAAAGCTTTAAAAGTCTATTCACCCCCCCCCCCCCCCCCCCTCTAGACTTTTACCTCTATCCGGGACCATCACATTTTATTATTTGGGAACTAATATGATAGTGATAATTCAAAACTAATAATAAAATGTATATTCTTTACACAGTGGGTCCTTTTTGTTGACAGATTAACACATTGGCCTCACTTGGATAGCAACGATTTGAGCAATCCGCTGATTGTTTTGAACTGCAAAATGCTGCAATTTGCAGCGAGTAGGCAAGAATCCGCCAAAAAACAAACTTGGTCATTAAAATATGTGTCTATATTTGGGAGGTTCTCCCCAAGAAAAGAGTGGGAGTTGCTTTACGCACCCCTAACATTACATCTGATGGATGTATATTTTAGTATTGTTCAAGTCCGGTCTGGTCTGACTTAATATGTTTAGGATGAATTTTTTAAATTTAAAATTCAAAATTGAAAAAATAAGAAAAAATAAACATCTACTTGTGTCGAATTGAAAAAAACTTTACTATAAAAATAAGACAAAATAATCATCTACTTGTGTCGAATTGAAAAAACTTTACTATAGTATGATTTTTTGGGAAAAGTGTTAACATATCTGTTATAATTTTAAGAAATCATTATTTGTCTTTGTATTCTTTGCACTATAAAATTACATATTTGTATGATGATAAATAGTTCAAGATTACAATTTAACTCTTTATCTATAAAATTACATATCTGTTATAATTTTATTGTTTAACTCTTTAGTTTTTAATTTGCAATTTAAAATTTTAAATTTATAATTTTTAAGGCAAGAAGCATGTTTTAGAAATTCTTGTTCTTTGGAAACAAATTAAACAATGCGGAGCAGTGGTGGAGTCAGAGTTTTTTCGAAGGGGGCGTTCTGAAGGCTAAATTTTTTGTGTATTTGTTCAAAATATAATATAAAAACAATAAAAGCGTAATACATTAGCACAAATTAGTTTATTACATACTGCTTGACTCATATCTTAATCTCAATAGATTAATCATACGAGTTTTAATTTTTTCAAAATGTTGTATAATAACTTTATGTTGGAAAAACACGACCCCGATCTTTTCCAGGATCACGAACTCATAGACTCTCGTACACTTATATATCCACACACTCAAAATACAAAGACATAATCTGACAATATCACTTGGTATTAACTCGGTCACCTTTTGTATATGAGACTACTTAATCTTAAGAAGACTCAAGATACACTTGATATCTTGAGTCTTCTTTTCTCACAAGAAGGCTCTCAATCTCCTCTTTCAAGGAGACTCATTTTTACTCACTCAAGAGCCCTCCTCAAAGTTCTCATATAAATGGGAAGCTTTTCTATACTAATCTCATCAAAGTGTCTCTAGAATTTTTTACACATCACTACGCATCTAGATTCTTCAAAAAAGTTTCCACAAACTTCTCTTATCTTTTGAAAGGATTTAGAAAATCTCACAATTCTTCAAAATGTTCTAGACGCTTCCACACTATTTTAGTGAGTTCCACATTTTTCTAGAAAACTCCACATTATTATTCTAGAACAGTCAATACTTCTTTGCGCACATATATACAATCCAACTTGAGTTCTAAAATTGAGTTTCTCCACTAAGAAGAGAATCCAACATTGTCTCGAGATGTTTTGATCTTTTTGTTATAAGAAATGTGATAATTCGTCAAACGCAACATTTTCTTGTTCACTATAAGCACGAAAAGTCAATCCGTGTGTCATTAAATGTCTAAAATAATTCACACTTGTATTCATAGAAACACATACGTTTCTATGAACACCGTACTAAATCTAAAATTATCCTTGAAGGAGGGGCATTAAATATATTATAAGTATTAGTACTAAAAAAAAGTTGTGTGAAGCGGGGCGTTTGCCCACTCATGCTAGGGATGTCAAAAAAACCCGACCCGCAATGACCCGCCCTGGCCCGAGACATTTGGGGCGGGTCCGGCCCGCCCCGTCTTGCAAATGGGACGGATCCGCGCCGCCTTGCCCATACAATGGGGCGGGTCTGGGTCTTAGTATTGACCCGTGCTACCCCGCCCCGCCCCGACCTGCCCTGCTCTATATAAAAGTGTATATACTTTTTCTTAAATTATACTCCCTCCGTCCCAATATAAAATGCACACTTTCCTTTTCGGTCCGTCCCAATATAAAAGGCACATTTCCCTTTTTGGCAAACAAAACAGTGCAAAACAGTGCCAAACAGTGTCCAAACAGTGTCAAACAGTGTTCCAACAGTGTTCACCTTTAAAAACTCCCCGAACGCAAATGTGCCTTTTATATTGGGACGGAGGGAGTACTACAAATATACTTCGACATTCATATGTGTGTACAATAAATATTAAATTCTTTGATCTTATAATATATTAATATATATATTAAAATGAGATGAACGGCAGATTATCAATGTATGCGTTATATATAGCGTTTTAATACATATATTCAATTATTAATATAATTAAATAGATTAACTATTCAAGTCTGAGTAATTTTTTCTCAATTTTTGAAATTTTTAGCGTATCATGAATTTGATTTAATATATTAATTTTTAATTATTATTCAGAGATAAACTTTATGTAGATTCAATTGGTAACAACTTCCCACAAATAGAAATACATATTAGCTAATTAGGTTACGGCGGGGCGGGGCGGACCTGCCCCGCCCCCGGACCCGCCCCGCATGGGGCGGGTCACGGGTCAACAAGTTTGGACCCGTGCAGGTCACGAGGCGGGGCGGACCCGCCCCGCCAAGTCATGGGGCGGGTCCAGGTCTTGCAGTACCCGCCCCGCCCCGCCCCGACCCATTGTCATGCCTAACTCATGCCCCTCCCTAGCTCCTCCACTGATACGGAGTACTGCGTAATAATTAAAGATTTGAAGTTCATCAAAAAACAAAAAAAAAATAGGGAAAACTGTCAAATAAGTCCTCGAACTTTCATTAAAAGGTCAATTAAGTCCTTCTATATGAGGTTATGTCCGGCCGTCGCGATTTTGGGTGGTTCCCAATGGGATTTTTTGATGAATGTTTTTGAGCATCTTATTCATCATGTCTAGTTTACTCATACCAAATGTCAGCTAAAAATTCAATCGGGAACACATTCAAATTAATTCGTGAAGATAACTGTGCATTTTTGCGTTCTCGAATTAATTTGAATATGTTCCCAATTGAATTTTTAGCTGAAATTTGGTATGAATAAACTAGACTTGATGAATAAGATGTTCAAAAAATTTCATCAAAAAATTCCACCGGGAACCGCCCCAAATCGCGACAGCCAGACAGAGTCTCCTATAGAAGGACTTAATTGACTCTTTTAAGAAAGTTCGAGAACTTATTTGACAGTTTTCTCAAAAAATTAAAGATTTAAAGATGTGTGATTCCCAAATTAATGTGTGCTTTTCGAATTGATTAAAGGAGTGTTTGGAGTTGCTTAAAAAAAGCGCTTTTCAGCTTTTGGCTTAAAAAAAGTTGAAAAGAGTGTTTTCAAATGACAACTTCTGCTTAAATTAATCATTTAAAAGCTAAAAGCTGGAAGCAGGTAGAAAGGTGCTTTAAACTGCTTCTCACTTTTTCTATTACACAAAAAGTACTTATTTTACCAAACACTACCAATTTTTACTTTTTCAGAATCACTTTTTTCTCAAATACTACCAACTTTCACTATTAATCACTTTTCCCAAAATAACTTTAAAAAATCACTTTTTTTAAAGTTGAAGCAATCGCAAACACTCCCTAGATAACAAGAGGGGCCTAGTGCGCAGAGCATATTTGAAGGCGCGCTGAGATAGGCCGTAAAAGAGTTAACATAATTCGTGAGGTTTTCTTTTTACGGTCTTTAATTTAATTTAATTTAATTTAACTGTTCTTCTCCCGCCCCATCCCCAGATAGCATCCGTGCGGCCATTTCTACAGAGACCTGCTGAATAGGTAAGAGTTTCTGAGCTTTATGAGCATAAGTTTCGTATTAGGGTTCCATTTCCGCTTCTCAGTTTCGTCTAAGGGTTTCGATTTGTGAACATCAAATGCTTTCTTGTTTCACAGTCTAGACTTGTATGATTTGAGACCACCTGTGATAGCCGTTGAAGAAAGGGAATGAGAAGTGAAATTGAGCTTAATAGAAATGCGCATTTAAGTGAGTGTGAGCTTGAAGACCACATATGGGTCATAAACAGTTTCCTGTAAGACCCAGTTCTTGGGAAATTGTATGGTCTTATATGGGGTCATAAGTCATAACCAGTTTTGTTTTGAAGGCCAAACCATTAGACAGAAATAAATAAATAAAAAATAGCACGGAATAGCCTTTTCTAGCCCCCCCCCCTCTACAGGTAACTCTCCGCCATAGTTTCTGACCCCATACAAGTTTTCAGAACCCTAGCCACTTAGTGTAAGAAACTTCCATTGTTAAACAATTTGTTCATCAGTTCACTGGTTCAAATTTCTCTTTTGAATGTCTATTGGAGAATTGGGAGGGAGAGATAGGGCTTTGTTTCATTCTACCGTTACAGTTCATTTAATTTGTGTTTTTTACTCAATTTATTCTTAAGTCACAACAAACAGTTTTAGAGGATTTTTGTGGGTTTATTCGACATTGAAGCGCTTTACGCAAAGCTCTATAAAGAGTACATTAATCTCAAGGTCTGTTCTTGCCTCGTGTGAGTCTAGATCTTCATATTATTATACCTACAAACGTTTTTAATCTTTTGATGGCACTATAGAAAGGAAAATATACAGAGATGGAGAAGATGATACGAGAACAAGAAGAGAAGTTCAAGAAGCATGTTGCTGGTATGTTAATGAGTTAATCAACTTATGCACTACTTTTTTTGCAAATTTTCATACTTTGGTTATATGTTTCTCGACATAGGGTTCCACTTCCTTCTTTGTCCATGTAACTTTTGAATTTTTTTTGGGTACAATGGAAATAATTTTTCCATCATTTGCAATGGAGCCAAAGATTCATTATTTTTTGGTTTGAGAATATGATGGAATAAACCAAAATGACTCACTAAACTGTCTGCGCTTTTTTGTTATGAAGCAGCAGTCAGTCCATGCAATTTTGGATGCGATTTTCACTATGGGTCATCCGGAAACAGTCTCTATGTACTTTCGTACAGGGGTAAGACTGCGTACATCTGACCCCCCTTACACCACCGTTGGTGGGAGCTTGCGGCACTGGGGTAAATGAAAATGATGATGAACGGAAATAAATGTAATTTTTGAATGAATCTTTATTATAATGCTATTATGCTTTCCAGAAAATTGATATGATGCATATACTTAACTGTGAACCACTTTGTGTCTTAAGCTGAAGTTTTTTTTTTTTGAGTTAAGCTGCTCGTGACAAAGAAAAGAACTTGAAAAGTCAAATAGAAAAACTGTCCCGGCAAGTGCATGAGTTGAGAAGTGAATTGTCATCAGTGAGGTAACTTTATCTTTGGATCCCCCCTCCCCCCCCCCCCCCAAATCCTGAACTAGGAACAATTTCCTAAAATACTCATCCTGGTGCAGATCTACCAACAATGAGCAACTAATTCACTACCAAAATCAACTGATGGAAGCGAACCTAAAAAGTAAGGACATGGTTTTTCTTTGAACCTAATTTTTAATAACATATACTCCGTAATTGTTTTTAATAATATTCAGTGCCTCAAATCCAATGTTGCAGATAAAGATCTCTCTGAAGAAATTGCTAGGCTTAGAACTGTTGAGCGACTGAGACAAGACAACAACCCTTCCCGAGATGATGAAAACGGACAAGCAAATAATCATGTGGATGTTTCATCTCGTGCAATGAAGCGTAAAAGGCAATCTCCTTCTCTTAGCATTGAATATCCAGTAAATGATGATACATCTATTGTTGCCAGGAAGGGAACCTTAGATGTCCACATGAAGGAATCTGCTAAAGAGTTATTATGTAAGAAAATGATAGAGGTCAGTGCTATACTGCTATCCTCGGGGGGGATCTGTGGTGTTCGTAGTAATATTTTTCTGCAAACCCAAAATGAATATCCTTGAACTTTCATTCTATATTACTATGCCACTTTTTTTTCCTTTTTCCAGGCTCCATGTTGTAGAAGAACAAAAAATGATTCAGGTATATGAGTATACATCATAGCATTCTGCAACGATCTTTTGTGTGGTCTGTCTAACTTTTGTGTTGATGGAGTTGCTTTAGCAAATGAGGCAGCTGATGCAGAACGTGTAACCTGTATGTTCCAAGAACTGGTTGAGTGCATTGTTCAGATGAAACTATCACCACATAAGGAGAATGAGGAAAATTTTATCTCGTTCCTACACGAACACAGTGGTAATGATATTTGTAAATGACAAGTATAAAAAAAGATGAGTATTCCATCGGGAGAGGGCTCTAGTGAGAACCCATTGTAAAATGTGAACTTATAGTGATGACTTTTAATCGCAACCTTTCATTTTACTAAATCACCAGTTAGTATGCAAATGGTGTCTTTTGTTTAATTATTCAAAATTCAAAATGGTTCTTTAAATAATTATTGTAATAGTATTACAAAAATGTCACATTGTTGATTCTAGCCACTTATTTGAAATTTGAAAGGTGGAGATTAAAAGTTCTCATTCATAAATGTGTTCTCATTTTAAAAAGGATTCTCATTCTCACTAGAACTCTCCCATATTCTCTTCTAAAGTCTAATAAAAACTATAAATAAATCTAGGATGATGGATACATTCTGTTCCATTTTGGTTATAAAGATTTTTTTTGCCCAAGGAAAAAAAATATTTTCAGGTTTAGGATATGACTGAATCTTTTGAGATTTCTAAAGAGAAAGCGTCAGACTCTGGTAACATTCATTTCAACAAAATGAAGAACTTAGAGTCTTCATAAGCCAGTTATGACTACCAAATAGAGCCTTAGAAGTCAATTAATTACAGACGTGGCATAATTTTCTTCATATAATTGATTGGTTTATGGTCTGGTGAGTTGGTGCACCCAGGGCATGGATTGACCAAGTGCACATTCAATGGGCTCTGATGGACCCAGATAGACATGACCCACGCGATTTATTGCAATAGTTAAATTTAGCATTTCCAATGTGTGTTTTTGTAGTTAAGTTTGACATAATGGCGTGTTCCCTAGTATTGTTATTTCAAATATGTACGTATAATTGAAAAGAAACTAGTCATTAGCAGTATATATGAGTTATCTACAGACTACAATACCAATAAAAAGCATACAGAACTCATTGTCTTCATTCACGGTCGCAGGTTATTCATTTACTTTAAGATTGATAGAAGACCCAGATGGAGAAGCAGAATGGTTATACCAGCTTTTGTCACTGGGAACTCTGGATAGAGTAGCAAAAACTTGGATGAGAGAAGATGTGATAAAGTTCAGTACAAGTATGTGCCCCGTCATCTTCCAAGGGCTGTCTCGTGTTATTGAGCTTAGTATATAGTTAAATAACTGCTGGTTAGCGGGGTTTGTATTTTATCAGCTGGTTGTGGTTAGATAAGCTTTCAGCATTCAAATTTGTTCAGCATTATTTAGTCAGTCATGCAAGTAATTAATTTTTCTGCTAGTCTTTCCTATCGACGTGCCAGCATCAGTAAATTTGACACCATGACGTTTTAGTTATTATTTTTTCATTTCAAAGTACATTGTGTATCTTATTCAATCTAATTTGATTGGGGGAATTTTCCAAATAGGACTAAGTGAAACTTTAATTGCATAAATAGAATTATAACTTTTAAAAATCTCTAATAAAGACTAGCTTTCCAATTCCATTCTTGTTATATTTTAATACAATTTATGTTTCATTAATAATTAAAACATAAAAGTAATAACATAACACGAAACTAAATATTAAATAAAAAATAAAATAAAAAATAGAAAAAAAACTTTAAAAAAAAACTTAAATGCCAATGTGTGTAAAAAATACCACTTAAATAATTAAAATAAAAAAATAAAAATATTGATGGGATATTGTGCCGAAGCCCAATACCCGGCCCGAACAGCCAAGGGCCCAAGGAAAGGAGCAAGCACAAGAGGAACTTAAGACAGAATTATGAGGACCTGAACGCGGATCGGGCCATCAAGAAAGACAATTGTTCGGCATATCCCGGACGGTCCAATTATACTACTTGTAGCAAATAACGAAGCATTACACTCGGCCATCGGCATCAAGGTCCAGTACTCGAACAGGAAGTACACAAGTGGCAAGCTGCATTAAATGCTAAAGTATGGCAGTTGCAAGTGGAAGCATGGGTACTCAAGTGGCAAAGGCAGCAGCCAACCGGTTTCGGCCACGTCATCATCCCACTTATCCCCTTTTCTAGTATAAATAGATGCATTAACTACATTGTAAAGGATTAGCATTTTGATACTCAGAGCCTAAGATAGATCTATCACTCTAGTTCTTGTATTAGCTACTGTTCCGACGTGCCGTTCGGGCTGTTTCAGTGTAATCAGTGAATTACTTAATACAAGCAGGCTTTCTGAGTGCAACATTATTCAGTCTTATATTTTATACCCTTTTAAACTAAGACCAACGTCTTTAATATCCAAAGCGTGTGTTGGACTTTTAGATCTGCGAGACTAAACCTCAGCAAATATAAAAAGTAAAAACAAATGTGTTGACCTTTCCTGCCGCCTCAACAATCTCCCAGCACCACCACATCCGACCACCGAAAAAATGCCAATATGTGTCAAATATGTCAACTTAATGGCAGTTTCCATAAATAAATTAAACATTGCCTTTTTATCCCTAATATAATTAATTGTCCCCTCTAATTCTCTTGCACAACCAAAGTCACTATGTTGATAGTGGAGCAATGCAGTGGTGGTAACTGGTGGCGGCACTCCGGCGTAGGGATGGACTCGGGCCGGGCCAGCTCCCGTTCGGACCTGGGCCCGGCCGGGCTTTTGTTTGTGAACTAGGGAATTGGAACTGGCCCGGGTGAAAAGCTAGTAGTAGTCCAAACACTTGACATGCGTATTTTTGTTCAAACAACATATTTATTCATATTTAGGGAATTTAAAACATTTTTTATTTTTATTTTTGCATTCAGTTCATCTTTTACTTCTATTTGGAGAATTCACTCTTATCAATTACATTAAAAATTGAACTATGTCTTTCAAATAAAACTATAAAAGTTTCAGGAATTCTCTTATAACACATTTCCTTTTTTCGTATCTTGATTTTAGTGGTTGGGAAAAATTTGCGCTATAGTCGAAAATGGGATTTATTTAATGGATGAAGTATTTCTTAAGTTGTTTTTGAAATGTTAATTTACATCGAGTTTGGGCAGTTCAATTTCATAGTTTTCTATTTCATTGTTTCAATACGAAATTACGAAGTACTACGTAACTATTATTGATTAGGTATCATAACAAGAAATACAGTAATTTAAGTATAAAATATACCACTGTGCAACATATGATTATTTAAAAGTTTAAAAATTTGAAATTATTTCTATACAGAGGAAGTAGTGTTGTGATTGATTTTTAGGTCCAGATATCAAGCTGGGGGACAACTTATGCCTGAACTCGACCGGAATTCTTTCTTTAAATTTAGGATGTTTTCTTTTGGACTATTTTTGACCAGACTTGACTTCCGTAGTTATAAAATACACATATACCAGACGTTTACCAGACCAGATCAGACCAGCAAATTTCAGTCCAAAAGAAAACATCCTTAGAGGACAAGCGAATTTCAGTTCTCTCCATTGTACTGGTGTATACAATACTAACAGTAGTACATTTGTGACTGAAATAAATCTCTTTCAATTTAAAACCTTTTAAAACTTCTGGAGCAATGTACATGTCGTGTATGCAGAGCGCTGTAAAGGAGAAAATCCATATATAGCAGTAAGAAACTGTGTTTCTATACTTGCACGCGCTATTTTAATGAAGGTGCAAGAAAAGAGAGGAAGATCAAGTTGAATGTGTTCTTGAAGCCCATATTCCAAATACAAGAAACCAGAAGACAAACAACATTGCCCAGTAGCGTGCAGGTCCATACTGGATTCTTGCCAACACAACCTGCAGCCATTTAAGATGAGGAAAAATAACATTGGTATTGGAATTTTTTCTTTATCAAGTTTTTTCATGATGAGTCAACACAGAGCATCTCTATAAGAAGAGAAAATGCTTTTTTCTTCTCTTTAAGTGTCAGAAGGATTAGAAACTTACAAAGCGGAAGAAGACTACAAGTGTTAAAGCACATACGCCCCCTAGAAGAATATGCAGTCCATTCTTTGCAGTATTCTACACAACCAAAAGTGTTCGTAAATCAAAACCATTTTGAAATGGAATACACAAACATTATAAGCTAAAACCCGGGAAGAAAATAGCCTTTCAGGGTTGCTCAACTGGCTTGGACCAACAAAAAGTTTTATGGGTTTGTTAATTCGAACCCCATCGGAAGGCCAGTAAGAGTTTACCCGGTCGCAAACCTCAAGATCGATGAGATTATCCGAGACAAAATGGTCCCGGACACCCGCTTTAAATGGGGGGGGGGGGTAAGACAATGTATAATGTCAGTTGCAACTTGCAATAACTACTAGTTTCTCACAAGTGGGGAGAGCAATCATATACAAATCTTCAAAGGCACACGAAGTTAAACTCAATAATAATGCTAGTAATGGTAGTAAATTAGGATCTCCGAATCTATATATAATGGTGGGAAATTTAGTATCCGTTTGGTAGCCAAAAGTTGCTTCCTCTGTTTATGAGCAGAATAATCAGAACAACCATAATGAGTCGTTTTAGACTTATTTTTTTTGCATAGAAAAAATAATTTTTAAACTTAAATTGTTATGTGGCTGGAATGGATTTCACCAAACGCTTTTTCTCTGGAAATTCAGCAAGTTCAGCTACATCCACCAAATAACCTTTACCAAACGAGCTTTTAATGGGTTCAATCGATATAACTATGCAAAGACATAAGAGGAAAGAGAACAAAAGCTCATGGATACCATTAAATCATTCACCTTGGCATACAGCCTCACATCCCCATACGACACTTAAAATGCTTTATTATACGGAATACTAAGAAATAGATCAGTGTCAATTTACTACTCCGTTCAAACTATGGCAACTACCATCAGATATGATAGTATACTAGTATACTTTCAGTTGGTTATTAATAGCCATCACGATAAGTACATTGATTCTTTAGACGAACCTTCTCTAGATGTTCCATATGTCCAGATCTATCAACTAAAATCTAACATATGGTCTTTCAATGTAAGTCCAAAACCAATGGGATACCTTTCGGCTATTCATATATACAAACTAATGAAACTATACTACCACTATTGAAAAGAAAGGGTTCTTGTTTGAGCTATGTATAGCTTTTTAATTTTCAATACTGTACAAAATCTCACAAATCACAAATTTTAGTTATACTTTTTAAAATTTATTTGTTGGTTTAGCTAAGTTCATTTGCAATGGAGCCAAAGACTCGCTATTTTTTTGCTTGATAATGGAGTAAAGCAAAATGGCTCACTAAACTATTTGCGCTTCTTTGTTGTGAAGCAGCAGTCACTCCATGCTATTTTTTATGCGATTTTCACTATGGGTCATCCGGGAACAGTCTCTTTGTGCTTTAGTGCAGGGGTAAGACTGCGTACACTTGACCCCCGTTACCCCTCCGTAGGTGGGAGCCTTTGAGGCACTAGGGTAATGATGATGACGTAAGTTCATCATACACAACTTTTTTGTGATATTTTTGGTAAATTACATGAAACTGGAGCACATGACAGATTTTTTACAAACATCACTTTTTTCGAACAAAAAAGGTGTTTAAAACAGAACTCTTTTTTGTATGAAAATTTATTTTAAACTGTAACTAGTATGCTTTAAAAAAATCCTCAGCAACCAAGAAATACACCTACATACAAGGATTCAAAACAGACCCATTCACATAACATTGCTAAAATAACCACCAGATGAAAAATAAATCAGTTACCTTTCCAACATGAGGAGCAATGAGCCATGCAAGAGTAAAAGTAAGCAGCCCCGTAGCAAGGAGGACACCAGTGCCTTCTACAGCCCACTTGGTTGCCCTATTTTCAGTTGGGAAGGCTTCATCTTCAAGCATATCAGAAGTAGTAGCAGCTTGTTCAGTAACAAGTGAAACTACTGCGGATCTGTTACAGGGATTGAACCACAATGAAATTTCACTCAACCGTAGACTACGAATAGCTGCAACAGCATCAGGAACAGGCTCTCCATTAAAAGTCCTCTCTCTCAGCATATTATATGCTTTCAAACAGTTCACAACTTTATTGAAGTCATCATCTCTGATGTGATTGGCTTTACACCCGCATATTTCACAGTTGGTGGATCCATGGTTGACAAACCACTTGAGTGCACACGCATAGTGCACAAGTGCAAGGTCATTTTTGCAGTCACAGCCGAGTTCAATTAAAGTGCCATGGTTATGATAAGAACCCGTTTCAATGTCAGCATCACAAACTAAAACTTCCCCATCAGGACTAACAATTTCAACACAAGTAGATCCCTCTTTAGCTTCTGTTACAGCACTGAACTCATTTCCATTATCTTTTGTTTCTGTGGTGTGGTCCAGCCTAACCTCCCCCTTTTTATCCTGTGTGTCACTTGATGGAGGGGTTATACGAAGAATTTCCAGTACAGCATCTCCCCTTTTGTCAGTTCTAGAGCATTGGCACACCCTACAAGTTGCCAGGTCCAGGCTATTACGTGACGATACTGTATCATTCCATCCTTCATTTGAGATGGGTGCAATGCCTTCCTGAATCACATGACTGCTTTGGTATAAATTTCCACTCTCCATCACACATGAAGTTTAGCATCTATAAAGTCTACTAATCTCTTTACTATAGTTATCGCACTATGCCTCCATGATGATAAACAGTAAGGCGAATTCCTGTTATATTTATGTGAAGAAAATCCATAGAAGTTAAAGTTAGAAACTAAAGATCTTTTTGTCAACAAAGATGAACCGGATCAGGCATGTATCTTTTGTGGCTTAAAAGAAAGATGTTTATAAGTCATAAAATAAGAGGAATCACTGTTCAATGTTTACTCCGTTGTGTTGTAGATTAGATGCAAATGACGAACCATTGGGTGTTTTTAGGTGCTATCACAGAGATAACTAGGCATAACCAGTGGCAGATCCAGAAAAAGAAAGTGTTGGGGGCAAAATCATTTCATTTTCATTTTCATTTACCCCAGTGCCGCAAAGGCTCCCACCTACGGTGGGGTAAGGGGGGAGTCGGATGTACGCAATCTTACCCCTATACTAAAGCACAGAGAGACTGTTTCCGGATGACCCATAGTGAAAATCGCGTCCAAAATTGCATGGACTGACTACTGCTTCATAACAAAGAAGAGCAGACAGTTTAGTGAGCCATTTGAGAGTAGCAAAAATTTCTATAAAGTACTACCTTTGTTCCACTAATATTGAAATGGAAGTGGTGGCGCGGTTATAAAAAAAGTGAGTTTATGTGGTTGATATTAATTGATAAAGTAGGAATAAAGTAAGAATGATTTAGAACCACATAAACTTTACCAAATTTGTTATGAGACAATTTTAGTGAGATTTTTCAAAAAAAATAAAACGAGACAATATTAGCGGGACAGAAAGAGAACACGATAATTTTTCCAAATTAAATAAAACATATTAATCTGTACAATATAAAAAATCTCTAATAAAGTATATCACAATTGTGGCCCTTTCAAATAAATATCTTTGTATAAAAAGTCACTTAAAAACTAATCACAATATAAAATCATTTTTCAACGGTTGCTTTGACAACATGCAAAGTCAAAACTAGCTCCGAAAGCTTGTATATCAATTTATGTCAAAAATGTTTTCTTGTTTGCACCACATCTGTCGAGAAATTTTTCAAGCCACCAAACCTTGGATCGGCTATCACATATTGTTAATGTAAATACTTATTTCATGTTCAAGACTTATGCATTTCACACAATAAAAATCATATGTGATAAAACTGAACTATGTTAATAATATTGTTAACCTGATAGTGTTAATTACATTAACATGAAGTTAATTTTACTTTATGAAAGTGTTATTTACATTAGGATATAGTTAATTTTTAAATTTGAGGTACTACTATACTACATACATACTAAGACTTTTATAGAATTGGATAATTAATTTGTTTATTTATTACATGATTTACATATAGGTTAAAAACAATTCTAGAGTCTAGATAATTAAATACTTTGTATAAAATTGACTTAAAAGACTTAATTACACCGACACACTTCAATCTATGCAGTCCGCACAATTAAAAAGACTTGAGTCTAGATAATTAAATACTTAGTACCTAAATTACATTAGCCTTTGATGCCTTCTTGAGATCAAGTTTTTCTGTTTTTCTTGAAAAAGGCTATTTTTTGTCATCTGCACTTCCAGAAACACAATTGCCGCCTCAAACTTACCTTAGGTTTGAAATTCTTTGATTTTAAAACTGGATTGAACCACTAAATTTTACATCTATTGGGGGCAATCTAATTTGTCGATTGGGGGCAAATGTGTGAAATGGTTTTATTCCTTATGCTTTGTGTGGGACTATGAGATTTTTATTGGGTGCAGCTGCCCCCACTATTATATATATGGATCCGCCCATGGACATAACTCACTAGTGTACTGATTAGTTTCTTCATTTTTGTAGATGTACATTACTGTACATTTTGGTTGCAAATACTTTGGTTCATACTGATTTGCAAATATATTGGACTACACAAGCATGCAACAATGAAAAGCAACCTATCTACTCGTGCAAGAACATTTCTTTCTGCGAGTGACACCATCATTTTAGGTGAATTGATGTCAATAACTTGTTTGGAAGACAATGTAGTATCCATGGATAAACAAAAAAGAAACTGCATCTATGAAAAACCAAATGTCAATCCTATCACTTTTTTGTGCACAAATGGGATCTGAAAAAATTGAAACTTTTCAGACTATCGAAGCATCAGTTGTCTTTTCTTTAACGTGCTCAGCAATACATGATGCATAACAGAAACGAAAAAATGAGTGGGAGATGCAGCTACTTGTAGTCTTGTACTACCTTCACTTGTTATTTTTATTGCACACTTCTCCAAATGATACTGCAAGTCTATAACCATTATCAGTGAACACTATTTCCACTCCATTGGCAATGTTCATGACAATTTTAACATTTACATTTTACTAATCAGTGAACATACTTAAATTCTACATTTTGCTAGATGCTACTGTGTGTCTGTATATCATAAAATGGAAGTTGAAAAAGATCTCGTCCACAGTAGGCCACTAGCTAATGCTTAATGGTTAGTTGGTTACCTTAGTAATACACTAATACAACAAAGAAGCATCCCATCAAACTGAAGAATTCTTACGAAAACATTTATAAGCTGATTGGCGATAAAAAAAACAGGCATAGTCCTTCGAATCATTGGAATAGACATGGAAAAAAGAGGAAAGGAAAAACTAAGATGCTTTAAATGTCAATGGATCAGATGGCAAACAAGTAACAGCTAAGTGCATTCATTAACATCTAAACTAAACAAAGTAATTTACATGAGGATGTCTGGCAGGATCACAATAAGTTACTGAATTTGTGCCCATCCATTTACTCTCACCATTCACATTTTGAGTTTAAAGATCAAAAGTTAAATGACAGGGGGGGGGGTGCGAAAGAAGATTCTATGGAGAAGTAAATTGAAATTCAATCTAAACGCTTTACCTGGAAACGCGTTGCTAATCGAGGCAAAGAGAAAGTAGGAGGGAGAAGAGAATGTCGAACCTGTGAAGAGCTGCGATTCAGCAGATGTTTGAGCTTGTAGAGACGCGAGCAATTGGGAGGCAAAGAGAAAGTGGGAGGAAAAATGAGAATTGGAGCGCAAAGAAGAGAGTGCAGCCAGCAATTGGGCGAGCGGGAAAAGGTAGAGCCGCGGGCGGATACTGTAAAGCGGCGATGAAAGAGTGAGTTTTCGTCGTCGTCTCTGTTCTGGAGAATAAAATACAGAAAACAGGGTCTAGAAGCCTACAAGTAGCCATCAATGAATGCTTCTCTTTCACATGTAATACACAGTATTTTTTTAGTTTGATACTCGAGTAGTAATTTTGACTTATTTCACATGCACCTTTATTTATTTATTTTGGAATCAATTTCACATGCACCTTTATTTACTTGAGAGAAATTTGACTTCTCTATTTGATCAAATTGAGTTTTATAACAACCCTCCACGAGGTAATAAAATGGCTCCTGAAGGGTTCATTGAGCTCTAGAAGAACAGGTGGATATACAGGGGCATATAAATCGGAAGAAAAGTCAGGTGAAAAAGAGAAAGAGACAACGACAGAATCAGCCCAAAGTATTACCAAAGGAGCAGGGGAGAAATCAAAGGAAGAGATTTCGAAGAGAAGGAAGATCTAGGAGACTCGGGCAGATAAGTTTCAAGGAGAGGACAACCTGGATTTGGATGGGACAAAAAACAGGGAGGAGGCGGGCTTTGCTCTTTAAGCCCGCCGAAGCTTCTGACGAGAGCAGGGAGGCAGCAAGTTCGAGGGTCTCTTCGAGTTAGCAGGCAGGGACAGAAGATTCTCCTTTTTTGTTTTGCTTGTTTCTCTAGTGAATGTTATTTCTATTTTGTTATTTGTTTTTTCTCTATTGTTCCTGTTTGTAAGTTTGGTGGAGGTAGAAGCAGTGGTAATAGCGGAATTACTTTAGATGGTAAGGAGATATCGGTAAGCGATATGTTCCGTTACTTGGGCTCCATAATTGAAATGAGTGTGCACATTTGATGCAAGATGGCGGATGCATAGCCTATGATGCGCATAAGGCTCCTCCCAAGTACTGCCCACCTCATTCATTGCCCTGACAATACCTCCATGTCTATCTGAAATGACACACAACTCCCTGTTAGTCACAAACTGCCTAATACATGCCATAAACCATGGTCAACTATCTCCATTCTCAGATTCAACAACTGCAAAGGCCACTAGAAATATTTGGTTGTTCGAATCACAACCCATGGCCACGAGCAATGTACCCTTGTACTTTCCATACAAGTGTGTGCCATCAATAGTAAGTACGGGTCGATAATGCTTAAAACCATGTATTGATGCCTTGAAGGCCCAAAAACTCTTTGAAACTGCATATAACCTGTGGGAGTATTGGGGGGTGGGTACCACTGAACAATAGTCCCAGGATTTGAATGTTGGAGCGCTGTCATGAAACGGGGCAATTCAGAATATGACTTCTCCCAACTGCCAAATATTTCTGCTATGGCCTTTTGCTTCCCCATCCATGTTCTCCGGTATGATACCGTATACCCATATTTTTCCTTCAGCATCTCAATGATAGTATACACTTTAAGAGAAGGATCAATGCGAACAATGTATATCACATCTTTAGAGATGAAATCTAAAGTCAAAGCAACGTGATCGGTAGTGTCGGTGTTGCCAACGCACATAGCAGAATGAGGTCCAAGATAACGCACAATTGTGAAAGTGTCAAGGTTGCCTTTGTTCTTTGTGGCGCGTATTCTCCGGGGGAAATCACATTCTTTCTTCCTTTTGCATTGTGCCACCCACTTGTGTTTATCGGACTCTATCACCCGATAAAATTGGTTCCGTTTGATAGAATACAAGCTCACCATATTGATGACTTGTTCTTTGTTGTCAAACTGTTGACCGACCTCAAACTCACCATCGGGGGTAAACCTTTTCTCACCTGATCCACACATCCACGCATCAGTAAACCCTTCAGGGAGATCATACATTCTAGTAAAATGGCTAGACGGGGCAGTTTTCGTGACAATATCACCATCATCTTCATCAGATTCTGTCATGTCATCACCATTGATGTTCTCGTCAGCATCATCATCACTTCCCTGCCCATCCACAAATGATGCACCGTTGTGCAAATACCTACCATCTTCCTGTATAACCATGTCCAGTACAGGAGCCTTTGAGGAGTTCCCTGCATTCACCCCTACATTGACATCATGCGTAGATACGACAACATTTGATGTTGATTGAGTACCATAGGCGTCACAGGATTCCTCAATGTATATCTCAAGCGTCGACATATCCTCCATCTGAGTTATGCCCCACATATTTGTTATAGCTAGCTCATCAATGAGGGGCATAAGCATGTACTTTCCCCCGTTCATGGGAAATTTCATTTTCAACCGCAAAGAACGGCTAGGATGAATCATTGTGGCTGCATGTATTTTTTGAAGGATCTCCAGCATGCAAGCGCCACGAGAAACCATGACAAAGCTGGTTCTACCTCCTTCAAGGCATATTTGCCCAGCATCCTCATAATAGTTTCCTCCCCAATGACATATGATTGGGAAGCTTAAGAAATCCATATTCTAATAACAATTCATTGTCCAACATTCATGAGTAGGCATCAATATACACACTTTAAACACATTCAAATTTTCAATAGAAAAAACTACCAAAATTGTAACATATCCAAAAGTCAAAATTCACAAACAATTCACATTTCAATATGAAACTACCAAAATTTTGATATCGACATTCACGTCTACCTTTCAATACCCAAAGTTAGCTACATTCAAGTCCACCAAAATCCCCAAATGTCAAAATACACATTAAAATTTACAATGAATTTAAAATCAAATTTCAACATTTCATACATATCCACATTTCACAACAACTTAATTCACAATCAATTCATAATCCAAAAATTCGAAATTTTTAACATTCAAAACCCTAAGTTCAAAATGAGATGAAATGGAGTTTGATTTACCTAGAAGAAAGAAGAAGGAGTGTTGCAGAAGAAGATGAAGGTTTGCCGGAGTGGGGAGGCCGGAGATGGAGCTTCGCCGGAGTTGGATAGGAGCTCGGTCGTCTTCTTCCTTCGTCTGTCGTAGTCGCTGCGCTTGAGGGAATTTGGGGATGCAGTTTGCGAAGTGTTCTGTTTGGGGCGAGACCCGTTTTTTACTTAAGGGAAAGTCGCCCAACGGTTGGGCGACTTATAAGTCGCCAAACCGTTTGGCGACTTATAAGTCGCCCAACCGTTGGGCGACTTTCCTCGACCATGGTTGAACCAGTAGTATTTTGGTAAATACTTTTAACCCAAACCTATTTTCGTAATTAATTATTTAATTAACATTAAATCGAAAAAAGTTCATAATTTTTCTATTATCGAGAATTAGTATTCTCACCCATGCAATGCACGACTGAAATATTTAAACCGCATTATAAATCAAAATGTAATATGTAAATGTAAAAATGAAAGATTTGAAAATTAAAATCTACTACAGATAGACATAAATATCTTCGATAACATGTTTACGTAGAGTACAAAATTAAGGGTAAACAATCCATTTTCACTTTAGATGCTCCCTTTCCCCTCTTCCTTTTGTCTTCGATCAAAATTTTGCGCATTTTGCATTCTGTCTTTATTTAAAATACGGAGTAAAAAATATTTTATGAAATATTAATAGTGTGTTGTTTATGATAATATTTTTAAGAAATAGATAAATTTATTAGCAATAATGTTTACGATATTATATTAAGAAATAGATACATTTATTAGTGATATACTACCTCCGTCCCGCTAAGATTGTCCGTTTTACCATTTCGGTTCGTCCCATTAAAATTGTCTCATACCAAATTTGGCAAAGTTTGTGTGGCTCTAAATCATTCTTAATTTAATCTTACTTTATCAATTCAATATCAACCACATAAACTACTTTTTATCAATTTGCGTGTCACTCCCTCTTGTCTCATTGTTAGCGGGCCGGAGGGGGTATTGTTTATGATAACATTAACAAATTGGTAGAGAAAGCAGTCCAGCCCAACTGATCGCCGACTTACTCTCGCTTATGGGAGGTCTCGGGTTCGAAACTCAATGGAGTTAGTTCTGCCTGGATTACTCTAGACTCCCCCCATACACCCTCTCGATGCATATAGTGTCGCAAATGGTACGGTGTCAGTGTGTTACATACACGGAAAAGTTACTAAGTATGGTGACATGAGAAAAGGTGACATGAGAAAAGGTCGTATTTTGAAATTTCAAATCTTTTTTTACTCCCATTTAAAGAATTTTCCTTAATATTTATAATAAGTTGGACTGTATTGTGATTCTAGTGGACCACTTTGTTATTTGTTAGATTAAATATTTTATGTATGATCAATCCATTCCAATAAAAAGCAATTTTTACCAACCTATATTAGTTAGTATATAAAACTTTTATTTTATATCAGTATACATGCATACATATATACATACATTACCTATATGTGCATGTCAAGCAATCTTTTTTTAATAAAATTAATGTGTAGTTCTAAATTTTCTTTCTCCTTATTTTTACAAACTTCAAGGATACATGAGTTTGTCTGCTTGTGTCTTAATATATACGTAGTATAATATAGTGTAGTCCGTGTAGTTAAAATATATTGGTCATACTCTATATAATTTAACAAAACAATAATGATGTTATATACTTCGTATGAGTCATAGTGTATACTGTATATCATTACTACATAGGGTAAAGATACATAGTATAAATCATTTTTTTTGGAGTCATTTTTTTTTTGCTATATTGGGTAAAGTTAGGATGTTTTTACTTGGACTGTAATTTGCTGGTCTGGTCTGGTCTGGTCTGATCTGGTTTGATCTGGTCTGGTCTGGTTCTTTGTATTTTTATAACTATCCAAGTCTAGTCTGGTCTGGTCTGGTCTGGTCTCGTCTGGGACAAATTACAGTCCAAGTAAAAACATCCTTACTATAGAAAACCAACTTTGTTATTTTTTATGTAATTTTTTTCTTTATTTTGGTAGTAAAACATATTTTAAATATATATTTTTAAATTAGCCGAATCAGTCAATCTTATCAATTCAGTCATAACTTCATAAATTTCAACAAAATCAGCCAATTTAAGTATTACCAAACAAGCTTTAGAAAAGACTATAAGCTTTAACTTATATCCCGAGGTTCACCGTTATTCATAACCCATCCGGGATGATTGATTTATTTTGTTGCTTATATCTTAATTTTCATTCTAGTATCAGATT